GTGCACACACATGAATACAAACACACACAAACACACACACACACACACATATAAATATAGAGATCTATATACAGTTTTGGAAAATAGTTTGCCATTACTTCCTTTCTAGAATTGAGAGAGAGTGACTGGCTTCAGGTTACCCAGATGCCTTTAAGCCTAAAGCAGGACTAGGACTCTATGTATTCTGCTTTTTAGCCTTATGAGTTTAATCATTATATAAAAATGGCTTACTTTTAAACATCTGATTAGTTTAATCTATACATATATAAAAGCAAAATACCACTCACACATCATCACAAAATATCCAGAATCATAAAGCCTACAAACTTGAAATTTGCATCTATGTTCCTCTTGACTTCTAGGTGCTCACTAAGAAAGGATTTTTTGAAGTGACCATCAGAGCATTAGTATGTCGTATATTATTATTAACATGCTCTGATGCTAAGGAGTTCTACTCCCTCTCCCCACCTGAAACCAAATTTGTTCCAAATGCAAAACACAAGCAGAGGTGAAGAGTTTCAGTTTCAGAGCACCAAGCAGCTTTACTACAGAACAGTTGAGTTAAGCCATGCCCAGGCTCCGTGCTGTCTCCTTCTTGCTCACACAGCAAATACTGTTTCAGTTTCCAAACAGCCTCAACTCACATACTGACAGGATGCTAGCCAGATGAATACCGATGGATGCTGGTAGGCGGAGGCACCCCCCCCCCCCCCAATTTTCCTCCCCAAAAACTAAGCCTGATCACATAATTTTGTATAAATCAAATTAATTTATTTGATTCTTTTTGTTAGTTTTTATTGTTTTTTTATTATTATTTTAAATATGGTTTTACATTCTGTAAGACGCCTCAAGTTGCCATAGGTAAAAAGGCGGCAATATAAATTCAATAAATAAAATAAATAAATAAATATAGATCTAGTTCCTAAATAAGGCTTGGATATAAGCAAGCTAAATTGTCTCTACACATTAGTAATAAATAATTTAATGTGTTTTGAGGTGCACACATAATACAAATATCTAGAAGAAAAAATATTTCCCATTATCAGTCTGAAATGATGCAGGCCCCTTTCAGGCTTTGCATATTGTTTGAATCAGTTTTGTCAAACTGCAAATTATATTTAATTTTTTCAGTCTGCTATTATGAAAACATGTTTAATTCTTCCACATTATGTTATATATGCATTTAATTATGTAGTTTATGTCAAGCAGTTCAAAGGAAGGCCTTAAATAAAAAAAAGACTTGAATGAAAACAGGGAATCAAACTTTCTGAGTAACTTCATAGTAATTCTTAATTAAAACTTACCTTTTTCTTAATCCATTTAAGTTCCTTGATAGTTGTTGAAATGCTGGACATATTTCTTTTTTGTTAGTATGGAAACAAGATGGCTATAATATGAATATGGAAGTTATGTTTCTACTTCATGTTCCAGATTATCAGTTGCCAACTGGAGACTTTTTTACTTTGCTATTTTCTAGCATGTTTAACTTTTGTATTTTTATTTTGTATTTATTGTGGGAATATGCATAATGATGTCAGACTAGTCTTGCATCATCTCAACATTCCATTCTGTGGTTCTTGGTTTAAAAAGTCCATGTGATAAATCTGTCAAACAACAAACAGCCCAAAGCTGCTACAGAGATGCCACAGGAATTCACCTACAAATAGCAGCATTTGATCTCATCCTTATGAATT